ATATTAAGAATAACATATCTTTTCATGAAAAAAAGTTAAATTAAAATTTAAAATACTTCGATACAAAGCAATGTATCGGGGTTACTTTAATAAGTAACTATAAAGTCACCATTTGTAAACCAACTTACGGCGATGCCACATAGGGGTTGCGTCGTCGCAAATGCGTTGTACTACATATAAATGCCTGCATGTAAGACAAGACTCGGTCATCATTCTCCTCTGTATAGTATGTGTAGTGACTATAATTGTATTCGAAATGTTTTCGATATTTTCGGTGGTTCTTTGTCCTCAACCAACCGGTATATTCGTAAAATGTATTCAAAAAAGTAAGTTATCAAACACATTTTTTTTGCATTTCTTTTTTGTTTTTAAATATCTAAGTTACATTCTTAATTTGTTTTTTTATTCAGTTTATAAACAGAAATTGGGCTATCCGAGTCCAAATTAGTTCGTAAGAAGATTTATGTGAAAATTATATGCATGTTGTGCTTACACCTAGTAGGTTCCACTGTATTCGAATTGTATTTAAGCATGTCTAGTTAAGACTGATAACTCTGTAACCAGTTTTGTAAGCCAAATAAAAAAAATCAGAACGACATGCCACACTGTGCGTTGAAACAGGAAGCGTCTCAGAGCTCAATTCATTAAAATAATCGCAACGCACCGGCAACGCCCCTGTGGCATCACCCCTACTAGTCGAGATCATCGTAATGTGCCCAAACACGATAGTTTTTCTGTAAGTAGTTGAGGAATTGGGTAGTCCGCAGACTGTCAAAATTGCAGCATCAGGTCAATATATTATATTATTGTGATGTTATCTGATTTGCATTATACAGGGTGTCCGATAATAAAGGGATAAGACTGCAAATGCCGCAAATAATGCTACAAAAAACGTTAAAAAAAATATCCCAAGTACCACTTGAGATATGTGTTTTTTCTTTAAAACGAATTATTTTTACCTTATTTTAGATTTTTGTACACCTCGACCTCAAATGATTGAATTTCTTTGGTTTTTTGGTGTCACAATACTCTACGTTAACTGTGCTAATAGATAGGCAACAAATAGTATGACTAACTATTGCACTGTTTTTTTTTAATAAGTTTTAATTTATTATTACGGACACGGATCGGACAAGTTGAAGTAATATTATAAACATTCACCTCATAACCGAAATCCTTACACTAACAGGAAAAAGAGCTGATGATCTTTAAACATCTGAACAGATGTCCATGATTAAATTAGCCTTCAAATAAAAAACTACTGCGACCAGTCCATCCGTTTGGGAGGTATGCCACAGACACACTGATATACGTACAAAGACTTCAAACGCATAACTCCCCTCTTTTTGCGTCGGAGTCAAAAATTAGGATAAAAATAACATTAATAAGAGGAATAAAAATAAACTAGCCGTTCCCTGCAGTCGTCTTAACAAAGCAAAAACGGCTGAAAATTGAAAAATTGTAAGTTTTATATTGATTAAATTGCAATTTAATGAATAACAAAACTATTTAAACTAAAGTTTTTAAAAGAACGCAAACTCAACCTCAAATAACCGACACCCAGTATTAGAAGCAAATTAAAAGAAATTAATTAAAAGATAAGATGTCAAGTGACCCGTTTAACTTTCATGTTTGTTTCTATTTATGATACTTAAAATAAACATTGTAAATGACAAAAGTCAAAAGAAAATTCACCAAGATTTGGCTGTATGGTTTTAAACCTTTGCCTTTTTCTTTAAGGAAAGAAATAAAAACATCAAACTATTTACAAAGTAACCCATAGAGTTTTCATTCATTCTTCTCAAGGGAACCAGCATTTAGGGTCGTATTCCACGAACTCTACTCAATACTCAAGTCAGGACTTGAGTATTGCAGTGACCACTGAAAATCATACTCAAGGCCTTGCCATTAGGGTCGTATTTCTGCTTGAAACCATACTCAAGTCTGCTCAAATCCTGACTTGAGCATTGAGTAGAGTTCTGGAATACGAGCGTAAGAGTGAATGGTAAATAAATATTTTTTACCTTATCATTTTCGACGTGGTCGCGGTCGTTATTGCCCTCGGCGTTACGGAGCAACGGTGATGGTGACCGAGAGACGTTCCTGCAATAGAAACACATTGTTTTACAAAAATGAATCATATCTAAACGGAAAACATATTAGAATAGCTATAAACAACGCTGCCTGCTTTTTGTGCTCCGCTGGGGGCAATTTCGTCCACTGAGATTTATGTTTTGCATAAGATATATTCTGGTATATAAAACTCAGAGGTGCCCGGTTTCGAACCCACGCCCCCCTGCTCGAGAGCCGGTAGGTAGATGCATGAATAGGCTACCACGGCTCTTTTTATCAATATTTTATAAAAAAAAAACATTTCACCCTTTCATTAATCTATTTGGAGATACGACAAAAATCACAAGATCGGCGTAATTGAGATCTGCTAAATCATGACGCAATAAGAACTACAAATTCCAGAGCATCCAAATCAACACACGACAAGGCAACAGCGAAACTAGACTTCATAGAATACGCACTACGTTTAATATCTTTAGAGATTTAAGGCCCACAACTCACATACCGGGAGTTCTTGTTCATCATTGTGTTAACCAGCCACTGCGTGCCTAAAGAAGACTTCGAAACGTAAGTTCAGCAAAGCAGAAGACAGATGTTACAAAATCACAGATGTTTTTTCGTATGCTACATTGTGTTGTCAGCATAATTTGAATGCGGGACACGTGTATGTTTAAAGTACACAGACGGCAATCAATCCTTATCATTAAACAAAGGAAAGTACGTTATTACCGTTTGAACTATTATCATGCATCCTCCAAATACTCGCATTAAACGGAACTATTTTTGTTATTAAAATAAATTCTAATGTAATTTGCTTCTTAATGCATGCTTATGATGAATTTCAAAAGTCAGTTACTGAAAAAGTGGGAACTCACAAAACCCAGTCAGATTTTTACCGACTTCAAAAAAGGAGGAGGTTCTTAATTCGACTGTATGTTTTTTTTTGTATATACATATGTTACGCGATAACTCCGGTATTTAGGAACCGATTGTCATGATTCTGTTTTGTTGGAAAGAGGGTACCTAGTTCCATTTAATTTTGTAAAAATCATCCACCTCTAAGCGTGTTCACGCATAAAGATTTTTATAAATAGCGTCTAAATTTTATTATAAGGAGCAATTATTTCAATGGTTGATTTTGCTATTCTCCAATTTAAGGCGTTTTTCTCTCTCAATATACTTTGAGTAGTAAGAACCGGTTTTTATTATCTCCTGTGTCAAGTCCCGTATAGTGGCGAACTAAGGGATGAATCCGGGTTTGCGCACTTTCCGGTAACCGATTTCAACAAAACTTGGTAATTATATGTACTTCCACGTACCTTTGAGGTCAGTTTTTTTAGTCTGTACTGAGGTTAGGTTATTAAAAACAAAATTTGACAACACACTGACAAAATAACGTGATTGCATTAAACAACATGTTGTTTAAGGTGATCAATAATCATGTAAGTTATAAAGCACAATTATTGCAGCAATAAATTTTTTTTAATTTATTTATTTTATATTGATGTAAGTCTTACGTGGTTACGACAACAATAACTCATTACGACACATTCGGCAGTTAATGAGGAGAGTAATGGTTTATCGTGCAATATACTCCAAAAACGTGTTTATAATAATTTAGTGTCCGAATTAAGTCCACGTCAAGACATCATCATCATCAAGATATCGTACGTCCACTGCTAGGCACTCCTCTAAGAGGGTATAGGTCATAGTTCGCCACGCCGATCAATCTAGGGATCCACTGCCGGTTCTCCGTCCAAAACAAAATTCGACAAATTAAAAAGACAATGTCAATTATGAAGTTTCCTTCGCATTATGAGTTTTTTAATTTGGTCGACTATTACTTATTTGATGTCAGTAGGTCAGGGTCAGTTGAGGTCAGGGTAGACCCTCTAATTCGGTTTGAGAACTTCACACGTTTTCCAAGGATTATGAATCCTCATCGACATGCAGGTTACATCACGGTGTTTACCTTCAACGTTAGCGAGAGGTTTTTTTTACAATACCAAGTGACGGGACGAACAAGTCGTGCGCCTGGTGGTACGCGACACACCTGTCCATAACAGTTGCAGTGCCATTCAGAGCTTTAAATCGCAAAGATCTTATGACCACTGCTCCCGGCACCCTGAGACATAAGTTGACAAGCCCCCGTTCCTGTGATTTCATCCTGTTCCTGTATGGCTGCCAAACATTCATAATTTACAATTTTGGTGAATATGAATAAATATGATCTGCTGTGTTGATAATTGTTTCATGGATTGATTACGTAAACTAGAGCGGAGAACGGTTGCTTCTTAATACATATTTCAGAAATCGAGGATAGCTGTAAGAGTTAAACGAGTCACTACCATGGATTTTAGTCATTCAAGTACACAGAAGCTGTATAACAACCTTTAGTATAAAACTTTTGTTTCACTATAGTATTAAACCTTTTAAATGGCAAATTTTGAATACGAACCGGAATCTTATTATAGAAGCGTATACATTGCATCTTAAATGTGTTTGGGATTATACGCACCTAACAATAAAAATAATTATTATTACTACGCTTTGTCATTTGCTAATAGTAACAGTAGGTTTAACCGATAAGCTTAACCGACAAAGCAAAGGCTATCAAAGCTACCGGAAACAAAGAATCACGATCCTAGCTAATGAGTTCCATGAACTCTACAATGGAAAGCCTAATCGGAATTGACGTCAGCGTGAAAAAATGATAGCTACAGAATTATATGTACATTTTTTTATAATACGGATGCCCCGTGCCGTGTTACCTGCGCGACGTAAAGCTCCACATCAACTTACAGCTCCCCACAATAGCCCAATTCCTCACCACCCCAAATCCCCCTACTGGTGGCTGCTTCCAACTGCGTCCCCCTCAGGGAACATCCCCACCGCGTTCGTATAGAACCCGTCGGCTAAGGGAAGTCCTTTACGACCCTGACGACCCTATTACTCTCGTTACATTGAAGGCCAACCAGATAGCGAATCAGTGCAACCCCTCACATACCAACCGTCCTCGACGGCGAGGTCGCAGAGCCCCCCACTTCAGCATGTACACTAGTAGATTTTCTCCTACATCACGCCCTTCTGGCGGAAGTCCCCAGTAGCACCCTGAGCCGAGGTACGTGCCCTCTTGGGCGCCCTCAGGCCCGCTACTTAGTTTTAGTTAATTTTTAAAGGGTTAAGAGCCTTCAGCTCGCCCTTGTATCCGATGACGCAGTCAAGGCCATCCGCGGCCAATTGCAAAGTGTCCTCCAGAAAAAAAGTAAAAGCTAACTCATAATAGTTGCAGTGCCACTCAAAGGTAAATCGCAAAGATCTAACAGGCTCTGCCACTGCACCCATCACTCGGGGACATAAAGTTGATAAGTCAATATCCATGCGAATTAACTACGTTTTTCAATTACATAAGTGAACAGAAAAAAATATAGTCAGGTTAATTTCAAGCAAAACTGGTTTCTGTAGACAAAAGCTTTCTTTGAGTTTTAACCGACTTCCAAAAAAGGAGGAGGTTCTCAATTCGACTATACTTTTGTATGTACGTTACGCGATACCTCTATTTGTGAACGGATTTTGATGTTTCTTTGTCTGTAGTAAAGAGGGTGCCTCAGTAGTGGTCCCATTTGGCCCCACCAGGGTGCCAAACTAGAGAATTACTTTTGAGGTCGGTTTTTTAGTACTCTGTAGTGATTACGATAGGACACACCATTAACTTTTTTTCTTCTCAGTCCTTTTAATGATATCAAATAACAAGACGGTCAAGTCGTGTGCCTATTGGCAAGGGACACGCTTATATACCCATAACGGTTATAGTGTCACTATAGCTTTAAATCGCAAAGGCCAGATGGCAGTTTAAAGTTAACTACACGACACCGACAAAAATGTTCAGTTTTAACACTGGATTTTTTATAAATTAGAAATAACAATAGCTTGTTATTGGTATGTTAATATAGAGTTCAAACATCTATCAAGTTATCCTCAAATTACATAGATGACATAAAAATGGCTATCATTTTTATAAAAAACTTAGTTCTATCTCTTCGCAGTCAAGATCATATCAGGCATACATGCTATATCTTTTCAAATGTTTTACTTGAAAATAATAACGACCTTGTTCACTTTTTTATTTATTTTGTGAATTTCTATAGTATTAGAGTCACGTGGAACAGCTATCGCGATTAAATTATCGATGGTTTATCAAAACCCGGTAGGACCAATTTGGGAAATTAACGTGTCTAAATTAGTTCTACATTGGGTTGTCTCTGGTAGGAGTAATAGTACAGGGTTATCAGGCACATCGTTAACATTATTGATCATCATCATCAACATTTCAGCCAAAAGACGTCCACTGCTGAACATAGGCCTCCCCCAAAGAATGCCAGAACGACCTGTCCTGAGCCGCTTGCATCATTTCATCATCTGGTGAAGATCTCATCAGTCCACCTTGTGGGTGATCTGTCCACGATGCATCTTCTGGTACGCGATCGCCACTCGAGAACTCTTTGGCCCCATGTTCTACGAGTCATGTTCCATGCCCATTGCCACTTAAGTTCTGCAATTCTTTAGGCTATGTCGGTTACTCTGGTTCCCTTGCGGATATCCCCATTACTGATTCGATCTCGCAACGAAATTCCGAGCATAGCCCTTTCCATTGCCCTTTGAGTGACCTTGAGCCTTCTTTTGAGGCACATAGTGAGCGACCACTTCTCAGTGCCGTAAGTTGTCACTGGCAACACACACTGGTGTCTCAAGACAAAAGTCTTCGGTCTTGAGATACTGTGGACAAGAAGATGTGACATAATTTCCCGAACGCTGCCCAGCTGAGTCGGATTCGACGATTGACCTCTATCGAAGTTGGACCTTTTTTTTTTTGAAAAATTCCTTTGACCCGACTGGACTCAAAACTAGCGTCTGTGGCTTTACGCAGGCACGTTGAGGCGACAGAGGCTGGTTCGACGTCGAAAATGGTATGAAATCAAATTATGAAAAGGAAAATTAATAATAAAAATTTATTATGTATAATTATTAAT